TATGCATTTTTTTTTTCTCTACATACGTAGTACACGTGTGTATATATATATATATTTTTTTTTTTGCTTTTGGACAGATTCTTGTTTAAAGGTAGTAGAAAATATTTCCCCACAGAGTGCGCACCTTTTTATGGTGTAAAATACACTGTACACTGAGGATGCTACGATGTCTTCTGGTTTAGTTTCAAGTTTCGTTTGGTATAAAATATTTGTGTATACATAATTTAATGAATTTTTGATTTTTTATTTTTAGGTGAGATTTACAATTTCTTAAGGAATCTGTTTTACACTGTACCTTTTGGCTTTTTGCAAAAATTGCACAATAAAATAAAGTTAATTTCCAAAATCTCAGGAAGGAATAAGTTTTCTGAATTTTTTGGATTTTATGTAGTACAACATTCGATGCTTTCATCAGACAAAAAAGACGTATTGTCTGATTCGGTGAAGGACTCTTGCGAACACTCTTTACTGGAGATCACTATCGAGCCTGTGTTTGCGAGTAAGATATGTGAGATGAGCCAGATGAGCAGGTTTGAAAATGGTGACATTGTCTTGGACTTTAAGGGCTCCATGGAGCTTGGACTGCATTTTTGCAGTAGGTACCCACGATAAACCTAACACAGTTGTCGTCTACAATAAAAGTTCCGCTCTATTTAATAGAAGTATATTTTCATGACAAATACCTTACTAACTGTAAGAACATATTCTCATATTTATCACAAAAATAATTATTGCTTTGTCTATTCAGTTATTTACACATGGTGTATCTCCATTGCTTGGGGAATAGGCGGGGTCACTGCAAAAATTGTTCACTCCTCTCGTAATGATCGTGCTATCTGTGTTTTTGCTTAAAACTATGAAGAGTATGCTTGATCGGCTTGATATTATAAACAGAATTTCTCAAGATCACAAAACGAGAACATCTCTGGTGGGTCGGGGTTTAGGGGTGAATTTTTGGTTACCCCTTATGCTCTGATCGTGTAGTCCTTGCTTCTAGTGATTAAAAGCTCTGCGAACAGTGTATTCGTCGAAACTCATCTTGATTACAAAGAAGTATGCGACTGCCCTCTCTGTCGAAAGTACGTTCCTATAAAGCCAAGTGCTTGGTCTCAATTCAAGAAATTAATTTATCGTGCTAGCCTAAAATTTAAATTCTCCAGAAAAAGGCATCAGTGGCTCTTTCCTCAGCAAGAGTAAAATTTCTAAAGAAGGCAAATCTCTCCTAAGATAATTTGCTGTCACTGTGTAACTATTTATAGTTTAACCCAAAATATTTTGTGGAACCTTATCACCTTGGGTCGTACACTCGCCAAAACTACACTAGTCCGAAAGCTGGAAGGGGTAAGTATTAAAAGCCGGCCTCATTGGAATTAGACTTGCGTGGCAATACTGGCACCAATTAGCTCTGTCTCCCTTATATGTATTTCCTATAGTGGTCAGTGGACAGCAGGCACCGATGAATTTTGTCACGGAAGAGTCGGTGGATACGATACTCCCTATCACCGCTAAAGTTAGGAGTTTATATGTGAGAAGTGTTTTTCAGAAATAGGCTTGCCGTTGCCTTTAGGGAAGCGGTTCATTAGTTGCAGAAATATTTAAAATCTCTTTCGGCTGCTAATAATTATTTTCCAAGATTGCTGGAAACAGCACAGTAAAAGCGACCGCATTGAGAAAAGAAAGCGCTCGAGTACCTTTTACTAAATTGGGACTACGCTTCATGACTAAGTATCATATCGGTTTCTCGGTCGCAGCTGCTTTCAGTGCATTGAAGTGGAATTATCTCAAAACTTCCCGAAAAATTATCCAATTTTTTTGAGGGTGAGATCTTAGTATGTGGCGAAGGTCTCCGGGACAGACATCTGCCGCCGGCGAAGCTTCCCAGTGTTTTTGGCCAAAGTTTGGCGGTACCCTTTGTAGTGATATCAGAAAGGACGGGGTTTAAATATGACCCCTGTTCAGGCAGGTGCTTCAACCAAAGCTAAGCTTGTCTAACCTTAGTAATAGATTATACCTTCTACGATGCGATAATAAATTAGTCGCTATTATTAAGTGACCGTTGCTGCTGCAACTACTATGGTAATTTGAAAAGTTTGGTAATATATGATTTTGCTGCAGTACAAAACCAGTCGAAAATTAAACTCGAATTACCAATTTTTATTATTTTCTTTTCTGAACTTATGCAAGTACTTTAAACGTAACTAAATCCGCCTAAAAGGTACAGTGCACAAAAAAAAATATTTTCTTGTTTTAGGTTTCTTTTTTTTTGGAAATTTTACAAAGTATTTCAATGGAATCGTATGTGTACATATTTATGTATACTGTGACTCAGATTTGCTGTAATGATAACTGTACTGCTGTACAGTGTGATACGCATGTTTGTGTCTTTATTTATTTATATTTATTTTTTTGTTTTTTGCCAATTGAACTCACTTCAAATAAAGTTACTTATGTGCCCACTCCATAATTTACAATTAAATAAAATAAGTGAATTTTCAAAAGAAAAACACATAGAACGACATTTAGTAGTAGTAGTAGTAGTTGTAGTCATAATCATATATGTATGTATGCATTATATACAAAAGAAGAACGAAAAATTCACACCGAACAAGACACAGCAATAAAACATTTGTTTCATTTCTCTTTTGCCTGCAGTTTGTTTTTTGTTTCATAAAAATCACACGACACTTATATAAAACGAAAAAAATTAAAATTTTTTTTTTTGCTTTTTTTTAGATAAATGTTTCATAACTATTTGGTTTCTGATAAAAAAAAACTAGTAAGAAAATTGAATTTTTTTGTTACCTAATACTTCGTGTTATTGATCCA